CAAAAGACCTATGTACCGAAAAAAAGAGAATGAAGTCAACAATGCAAACTCTTACAACAAGGATTCATCGAAAAGTTTTACAATAACCCAGCCAAGGGTTAAGAAAGAAGAAACAAACACTAATCGAGCAGAGTCCAGAAGATCTCGAAAGGAAAATGAAAGGTTGTCTTTTACACCTTTACCAGTACCCTATGCTGAGATCTATGACTTGCTATTAAAAGCAGATGTCATACGGCCTTATCCTTTGGTTCCTATGCAACCACCATTCCCTCCATGGTATGATGTAAAGGCACACTGTGTTTACCATGAAGGAATTACGGGTCATTCTATTGAAAATTGTTTGGCATTCAAAAGGGTGGTTCAAAATTTGATCAACATTGGAAAGTTAGAATTCAATTCACCATCTACATCAAATCATCCATTGCCAAATCATGGAGATAAAAACGTGAATGCAATTCAGGGAGAGAACATAAAGAAAGCAAAAACTGACGTTTTTGAAATTAAATCTCCTTTTGTTTGGATATTTCAACAACTCTCCTTAGCCGGTATAATTCCACAAGAATTCAGGCTAAAGCATAATGAAGGCAAGAATTATTGTGAATATCATCAAGAGAAGGGGCATGAAATTCAACTATGTCCTGAATTTAGGGATTTGGTGCAAAAATTGATGAATAACAGAGAGATAGAATTCTTTGAAGAAGAACCAGGGAAAAGAGAAGATGATGTTTGCTCATCAGAAGACTCTAAACCTAATCAGAGAACAAGTGATCCTGTGATCATTAATGTGAAATCATCTACAGTGATTCCTGCACCAACAAAGCCGAAAGTAGTTATCACAACCCCTTTACCATTCCCATACAAGGATACCCGCAGGGTACCTTGGAATTATACTACCAATGTTTCAATGGTAGGAGGATATGTTTCTCTGAAAAAAAAAACAAAAGAGAAAATACAGAATCTGGATTCGACGTCTGAAGCAGTGAGTGAAGTCGGATTCTTTACAAGAAGTGGGAGATGTTACTCTCCCGAAACATCCATTGCATCAGAACAGGTGAAAGCAAAAGGAAAAGCCATGGTAATACCCCAAAAGGTATTTGATGATGAATCCCCTCCAGCATTCAATGAGCCTGTAACAGAAAAACAAGCGCAAGAATTTTTGAAATTCCTGAAACATAGTGAATATAGTGTGGTTGAACAACTACATAAACAACAAGCGCGAATTTCTATTCTTGATCTATTGATGAATTCAGAAGCACACATAAATGCTTTGATGAGAATGCTTAATCAAACCTTTATCCCTGAAGATATATCCATTGAGTTTTGTTCTCAAGAGGTTTTGTGACATTACATCTACATCTACATTTTTCAAAGATGATAGATTCTCCAATTTGAAGAAGAAAGATTTATTGAATTTCTACACAACTGAAGAAATACTAAGTTCACCAATTTGAAATCAAATAAAAATGAGCTTAAAATTCATGCATCATATTTAGGCATTTGCAAAAATAGGTGCATTTCTATTCATTTTATCCATGTTGACATGAATTTCAAAGATTTTAACAAAGATTCAAATCCATTACAATGGATCAGCTTTTCCAGAGAAAGTTCATAATGAGAAGAACTCATCTGAAGAAGGAAGAAGAAGTTCATAATGAGAAGAGCTTGTTCAACCTTTTGCTCAAATCCGTCACTTGATGGATCAGCTTTTCCAGAGAAAGTTCATAATGAGAAGAACTCATCTGAAGAAGGAAGAAGAAGTTCATAATGAGAAGAGCTTATTCAACCTTTTGCTCAAATCCATCACTTGATGGATCAACTTTTCCAGAGAAAGTTTATAATAATAAGAACTTATCTGAAAAGGAAGAAGAAGTTCATAATGAGAAGAGCTTATTCAACCTTTTGCATGATTCTATCACAGAAGGAGATAAATCAGCATCAACATTTCCAGAAGTGTTCATAATGAGAAAAACTCATCTGAAAAAAAAAGAAAAAATTGTTCAACCTTGCCTTAATTTATCACATATGAAGTTGAATCAACAACACCTCTTTTGAAGATCAACATTTCCAGAAGAGTTCATAATGAGAAGAACTCATCTGAAGAAGGTAGAAGAAGTTCATAATGAGAAGAACTTGTTCAACCTTTCGCTTGAATTCATCATTCGATGGATCAACATTACCAGGTAGAGTTCATAATAAGAAGAACTCATCTGAAGAAGGAAGAAGAAGTTCATAATAAGAAGAACTTGTTCAACCTTTCGCTTGAATTCATCATTCGATGGATCAACATTACCAGGTAGAGTTCATAATAAGAAGAACTCATCTGAAGAAAAGAAGAAGTTCATAATGAGAAGAACTTGTTCAACTTTTTGCTCGATTTCATCATTCGATGAATCAATATTGCCAGGAAGAGTTCATAATAAGAAGAACTCATTTGAAGAGGAGAAGAAGTTCATAATGAGAAGAATTTGTTCAGCCTTTTGCATGACTCTATCAGGGAAGGAGATAGATCATCATCAACATTCCCAGAAGTGTTCATAATAAGAAGAACTCATCTGAAGAAGGAGAATAATTTATTCAACCTTTTGCTACACTACATCTCAGAATGAGATGAATTGTCATCCCCAGTGGAAAAGTTCATAATAAGAAGAACTAATCCCAGAGGAGAACATGTTCAACATTTCCATCTTAATAGGGGAAGTCAATTGAACAAAAATTTATTGTCTTTTCGTCTTTGCTCTATTATTGTTAACACAAGAATGAGCAAAGAGGGGCAGCTGTAGACACTAAATTTTTGTCCCGATTTTATTTATATTATTATTATCATTATTATATTATTATTAATTATTTTTATTATTAATATTTTTATTAATAAATATTATTATTACATATTACAGGCCCAATACCCAGAGCCCAATTACAACAATACCCAATCTGGTCCAGACCCAATCTCGGAGCCCAGTTCTGGCCCAATTTGAGCCAGTCTAATGGAAACCTTAAACTAATTAGGGTTTCATCTTCTTCAGCTGCCAACATCAATTCCACTGTTGGATCTGATAAGATCCAACGGTCCAGAAGCCTCCAGATGGAAACCCTAGGGTTATGATATCCTAGGGACTACAACCGCCGCCTCTGCTGCCAAGTGTTCCAACCGACCACTGCCGACGATCCGCTGCCACCGCTTCAACCTCTGCTGCCACGACGCCAACAGAAGCTTCCAGAGATCCCAACACAGCCGTCCACGTCGCAGTTATGGGGTGAGTCACCACATAGCTCGGTGACTCACCAAACTCCACTCTTTTACCCGGTCCGAGACAAGCGTCGGTGATGGCTATAAAGCCACCACCGAACCTGCAAAGAAAAACAGAGGCAACCAACAGCCACAGAGCAACCAAACAGAGAGGAAGCAACAAAAGAAACTAAAAAAAGAGAGAAGAAAGGAAACTTACCCTTGGAGCCTCGATCATTACCGGAAGCCAAACATCGACGGAGAACAGAAAATACCAAAGGTATTTTCTTAGATTTACTCCGATTAGGAGTTTTTTAGGGTAAACTAAAGCCAGATTTGGCCTTAGGAAGAGAAGGCCTTTATTTTTATGTAAAACAAAACTTTCCGGCCACCAGAGACGGTAGCCAGCGGTGGGGATTACGGCGGCAGACGGCTGCCGGCCGATGACCGGCTTCCCTCCGGTGAGGGAAGCTAGAGAGAAGCGAGAGAGAGTTTAAACTCTCTCAGTTTAGAGAGAGGAAGGAAATGAGAGAAATGAGAGCTGGCCCTTCGGGCCAGCTGTTTGGGGACTTAAATACCCCTCCCCGAACGACGTCCTTTTGGGGAGGGGTCTGTCTGTAATTAATTAAAAGTTAAATCTCGTACGCAGTCCAGTAACTTTGTAATTTTTCATTATAGTCACTGAAATCAAATTATGAACTTTTTAATTTGATCTCTTAATGTTATTTCTTTATAATTTAGTCACTGACATAAATATTTTAGACAAATAACCGATTTAGTCCTTTAATTCTAATTAATGTTATTTTAATCCCGAGCATGTTTTAATTTATTTTAATTTGACATTCGAATTTAATATAATTTTATTTTAGTCCATAAATTAATAAATGAGTAAAATAACATGTTTAATTACTGAATTAGGTATTTAATGCTATTAGTTTATAATTTAGTCACTAATTTCAATTTTTATTTATATTTTTTTTACAAGTTTTATATATGGTTTTAATTTTATTGTTAGTTATATGTTAATATGTTTACTTTTAATTATTATTACTATTATTATTATTATTATTTAACTATAAATATATATATTTATATAATAAATAATATGTATTTTATTTATTAAAATCTTAGTTAATTATTTTTAACTTATTTTAATCCTATTTTAATATTTATTTATTTTCCAATATTAATAAAGGACAGTCTTAAAATAACTGGATGTCCATTTTCTGATATAAAAAAATAAATAAATATCTTATTTTATAAATTATATATTAATTGTTTTAATTATTTATTTATTAATATCAAAGAAAAGAGTTGTCTTAAGGCACCTAGAAGTCCTTTTCTGATATTTCTAAATAAATAAATATTTTATTTATAAATATATATAAATTAATATATATTTTTTCATAATTATAATTTTAAAATAATAGGATTATAAATTAAATATATTTTGAATTTTTAATAATAGAGACAATTTATAATTAAAAAAGTACCAATTTTAGGCGTTGTATGGGTGTTAATCCTTCCTTAAACGTAACCGATATCGAATCCCTTTTTATTATTAAAAAGAATGATTTTTTTGTTAAAACGCAGATCAGTTTATCTTTTAATCGATGTTTTCTTAAAAACTTTTTTAAAAGATGATTTTTAGGTATTCGACCTACCTGACCCAAAAAGCCGATGGCGACTCCCAAATTATTTTAAAAACCATTTATTCACATCACTTTTTCCGCCAAATAAAAAATTCGTGCCCGGACGAAAACCGGTTACGACATTACCACTATTTAGAAACATTCACCACAGCCCAGAAATCTTCCCAGATCCCGAAAAGTTCAATCCCTCAAGATTCCAGGTAAAATTTGCACAACTAGATATGTATGTATACGTTGCAGAAGTACAGATACATACGTACATGCATGTTATGATATTAATACCGGCTGATGCATGGTTCTGGTGAATGGATGGACAGGTGGCATATGGTGGGTAGTAACAGCGGGATACAGTACGGTCCTTTTGCTCTTCCCCAGAACGGTTTGCCCATCAGATTATTCAGAAAGTGACAGAAGACGTTCCTCGTTTTGATTTTCTACTTTCTATAAGAGAGACAAAGGAGGAGTTTTCCGTCTTTTTGGGGTAAAAACCAGAAGAAGAAATGACTCGAGATAATCATGCAGAAGCCGAAGGGCAAAATCCAAGTGTACACAACACTTTTCCGAAGGGGTAAAAATAACGTGGAAACAAATCATATGTTCATCTCATAGAGAAAGAAGCAAAACGATGAGTTTTGATCACTTACCATTTACATGTACTAATCATCCTGGAAAGGAGTTCTAATTGAAGTCCGCCCTCTCGACCCTCATCTCATTAAATGAACCAAACAATGAGAAGAGATGATGTCAACTTCGGACCACGTTTACCACACTCGTTCCTCATCCTCGTTTTCTGAAGAAACTAAATTCCTAAGATACATACCCAATGAAAATTGATCAACTGTCACTCCCTGAATCCGAAATCATTTTAAAAGAGATGAAATTAAGGTTAATCCTTTATTGTAAATTCTCTTTAACTTAACAAGTGTCAAAGAATCCACACGTTGTACTCCTACAGAGAAATTTCATTTTTAAATTTATAAAAAGACAAACTCTGGATATAGATCATAAAATGAATGAAATCAAGAAAACAATATAGATTGGAGGATCATTTCAAAATATAAAATATATGATATTAACTTTTTCGCTTGATTAAAGTTGTATAATCGAGCTGTAAATGAGACGAGACATATCGCGAGTTATTCGAGATCGACTCGGTCAAAGCTCAATAAATACTAAATTCGAATGGACTTAACTCCACTTGAGTTCTTAACAAGCCGAAACGAGCTATTTGATACTCAACTCGAAAAGCTCGTGAGCAGCTCGAAAAATATAATATATTAAGATATATTTTAAAAAAATAAATTATTAATAATATTAACATTTTGTGTTGATTTTTTTATAAAAAAATGAAATATAAAGTTTTTATGTATTTAAGGTTCAGATTCGAGTTTGAGGTTTCAATCGAGTTATGTTTAAGATATTTTTTTTTCATTTCTAGCTTTTTGAGGTTTTACGAACTTTAGTTCATGGTTTCGAGTTCGAGTCGAAATTAAAAATTGTAAGCTCGCGAGTTTTCGAGTCGAGTTGAGCTCAATTTCAAAGTTTTCGAGTTGAGTCAAACTTAACAATACTCGAGCTCGACTCGGCTCGTTTACAGCCTATGAAATGAAAAATATTGAAAATATGTATAAAAAAAATCTGAGCACGGATTTTTAATTTGAATAGTGATAGAGACAAGAATGGCAACAGCAACAGCACCTGAACTTGACTGTTATTGCCATTGATATTTGACTGCAACTATAAACTTGAAAATGAAAATGAAATATGTTTAGCCAAAAAAAGTGGCTTGGACTGAGAATGAGATGAGATTCTTAAACAGAAGCACGTGTCCTTCCCAACATTATATCATATCCTTATCATCTGGAAAATTAATAAATAGCAGTAAGGGACCAGGGAACCATACCTTGAGCCATTCAACAATCTGAGTTGAAAAATCAAAAGTTCCTGCCTGGGACCTTAGCTTTCAACACTGTCAAATAGCCTCCATTAGATACATCAATACTAATATGAAAATGAATGCAACAATTTTGACAAGGAACTCTTATGTCAACATCATGACATTATCTATCAGCAGTAATGTAGGTTTGACAAAGTATCTATGTATTATCACCCAACCAAACTGGATGATCATACAAGTAACCGAAGAGGTAAGAGATTGTATCTTTCACTACACATCATTAAACCAAAAATCTTAGTGAAACTTCAAGTTAATGAGAGCTTAAGGCATAGCCTACAGGATACGAAAGGCCATATGCTTGCTCAATACTCTGCTTGGTTCTTGTACATATATGAAACATCCGAAGTAGTAGTATAAAAGGGAATACATGAGTTTCATGGCATAAAGACTCAAATTCATCCTGATACATTGAAGATGTACAATTAGAAATAAAGCTTATACTATACAATGGTTAAGAGAAGTAAGTGGAACACAAGATAAAATTAACAAAATCCTCAACCGGGCACCTAAGGTGGTCATGTACAGAAAAAGTTGGTCAAGTGCCACCTAAATTTAATTACCTCCGAAGGCAGCATTTGGGAATTTGGATTTCGAAAATAGTACAAATAGTGTGATATAACACACAAATATAGCGTTCATCTCAAATCCCTATGTATTTTAAGAATTTGGCAAATTCATGTTTTCATACCATTCAAATATATAAATGTATCGAATCTCAAGTACTTTTATTCATAATGGGTGCATTTCATTACCGTGATTTATATTGTAAATGAAATCCAAATTTTCAAATTAATGTTTCCAAAAGTTAAAGAAAGTTGCATCAACAATGATACATTAATAACTGCCCCTGCTCCATTACATTACATCATCAGTATCCACTAATCTATTTAATTCCTTATGGCCAAAGCTTTCTATTAGCATAAACATTATTCAAACAAAGCGTTTGGATCAGGTTATGTGACATTATCGGGGAATGGAATATGATTCCCCCGTTTGGATTGCAAAGATTCTCAATCTCCGGTAATAAGTTATTCCCAACAGTGGTATTTTGGGAGTTTATTACAGGGAATGTGATCCCCCTTCCCTTAGGTATTGTTATATTTCCGGCGTTTTGGACTAAAATGCCCTTAAAAAAATTCAAAAATATATTTCTTCTGTCGTTGAATAAAAAAATTTCTATGAAGGTTAAATTGCAAATTTATCCTTAAACTATTTTAGATTTACAAAAAAAATCCATAATTAGAATTTTATATGAAGTTCAAGGGTTAAAATAAAATTTTATCCTTTCATTAAACTATTTATCTTTTCAATTTTGTAAAAAAAATTATATAAATTTTATGAATTTAAAATTTTTAAAGAAAATATATAAATTAATTATAGTAAAATTATAGTAGAATTCAACTTGTTAAAAAGAACTAATATATAATAAGAACAATTTGATAAAATATACATTTCAATAATCTTTTATTCCTTTAATCAAACAATGTAATCTTGTATTCTTGCTAAACGAACCAAACACAACAATGCAACATTCCCAGTAATGTGTTAAGTAATGTTACATTCCGGTAATCTTATTCTCGCCGGTAATCTTACATTCCGTGAACTAAAAGCACCCTAAGGGTAAAAACTATATCCAGGTGTGAATGTTATGAATAAATTATATTAATTAAAGGGACAATTAATTATATTATTACAAAATGATAATTAAAAATGAAGGTATGATAAGTAAAGGACAACTCATACCTCTACATTCCCGTGGAAAGAGGTAATGACCTGAAATTTTGCCATAGATTAGCGTCAAGATTAAATATCAGTTAAAATAGTCCTTAAAAGCTTTATACCTAAAATCAACAAAAATCATTTCTTTTGAGAAACTACGAGTAGGCTGTAAATGAGATGAGTTAGATCGCGAATTACTCGATATCGACTCAATAAATACTCGGATCGAATGGACTTGACTCGAGCTCGAGCTCGACTCGAATTCTTAACGAGCCGAAATGAGCTACTCAATACTCGATTCGAAAAGCTCGTGAGCAACTCAGAAAAAAATGTTATATTATAATTTTAGATTTTTTAAAATTACATTATTAAAAATATATTAAAAATACACTATTGATAATTATAAAATTTTAAAAACATATTAAAAATTCTATAATAAAACTACCCTCAAATTTTAATTTTTTTAATTAACCAGCCCAAGTCCAATTGTTACATTGTATATTACTAAAAGAAAAATAAAAGCTCATTTAATTAAGCACATATTAAATTACACATGTTTGGTTAATTTTTTTTCTTTTTTAACTTTTTACTGCACAAGTACTTGACAACGTAAAAAAATAAAATAAAAAATAAGAAAAAAAACAACCACACAATAGAAAATTGAAAATGGTTAAAAATTATTTTTGATTAAATATTATTATATTTATTTTAAATTAATAAAAAATTATTTATCTAATGACAAATATTTAATACATTCCTAATGATAATATTTTAATAACTATTTTTTTAAATTATTGTTATATTTTGAGGTTTTGGGTTCAAATATCATAAATATAAAAGGTTTGAGCATTTAATATCAATATATTATATTGTACTTACCTCATAAATCAATACCAAGTCGATTATTTAATGTATTTGTAATGAATCCTAAACCCTGAACCCTAAATATTTAATCACTAATTCCTAATCTATAAACACTCAACCATAATCCTTAATCCCTAAGCACTAAATCCTAAACCCTGAGCACTAAATCCTAAACCCTAAGCCCTAAGCCCTAAGCCCTTAATTCGATTATGCGATAGGGGTTAAGTTATGCACATGAAGGTAATATACAAATTATGCAAAATGATGTTATGTGACTCTAAATAAATCATTCGCATACTTATGTTTAGATAATATTAATAATTTATGTTGATTGTGTTATAAATACACTATTTTATGTTTAAAATCTTCATGATGCTTATTCATTCGTATTTTTAGAAATGAATTTCTACGTATAATTAATATTATGTAGGTTTATTTGATATAATATTAATAATTGATTAAAAATATATTATAAAAGTTTATAAATATTATGTAGGTTTAATTAATAGCACACCACATTAAAACAACAATAGTACATAACATTGTAATAATAATAATATTGTCAAAATATATAATTAAAGGGTTTATCACATTAAAACAACGAGAATATATAATCGTAATAATACAAAGTCTAATTCATAATTAGTTCTACAACACATTAAACCAACAATATGTAGGAACAACAACAGTTCACATACTTCTTTAGAACTGGCAAACCTTGCCTTAGTCCTTGTATTTCATTTTTTCCTTCTAAAAACCGATGGTCGGAAATTGCTTCGCGTACTCCTCGACTTTTTTTCAGAGCTTAGCGATTTCAGATTGAAAGTTCATATCTGATTCCAAGATTGCTACAAAATCCCTCAACTTTGTTCCTGGATTAATAGTAATTCAAGGGAAATGTGCGAGCATATATTCCATTTTTACAACATATAAAAATATTGCCCTTCAGGCTATTGAATAAACAGAAAAGTATACCTTTCGTCTTGGTATTGATTTTTAAGGCTAATTTGACAGCTGCATCGAATTTGATTTAAGATGCAAGCAAGCTCCATACATCTGAAAATTCAAACCGCTCAATTGAAAATCTAACTATAAAGATATAGATTTCTCTTTTGTATGTCAAATTATGCTTAAAAGATGCAGCACATATCAAATATTCCACACAAGTTCCAGCTGTGAATCTTGAAAGGATTGTGGAAAGTAAACGAAACATTGATCAAAAGGTGCATCCCTGGTTTTGTACAATATACAGTTACGCAAGTGTAGATACATAAAACAGAATGAAAGAGGAGCTACCTGATCATAGTCAATGTAACATGTACTCTCATCCAATCTATATGGCATTGTCTCAAAGAATATGGACATAGAAGATATCTTCTTTATAATGCAAAGAAGAATTTAAAATTTGAATTTCAAACACAGTAGCACCAGTTGAATAGCCTTAAAGTAATGTTGCCTCCTGATACGTTAGTTCTTTAGAAAATAAATGCAGAAAAAATACAATAAGAATTTACAAGAGAAGACAAAATTGTAACCAAATTCACCAGAAAAGCTCTTAGTTAATGGAAATGATAAGCACCTGATAACCATGTGAAAGATGTCCACCATGGGGTAAATCTAGTGCCATAATTCATTCATGAGGTTTCAACAATGCAGTATAAACTTGAAAGTTAGCAGGAGATCAAAAAAGTGACTGAAAATTGACTACAATAATGAAACAGATACAGGATAAGCTATATGCTGCCTAGAAAGTAAATATCTTTCATTGCCAAGCTTTCTCGAGTTCGATTATGTTAGCAATTTCAGGATCGATTTCCTCGAGTGGAGCATTCAACTGATGTACCCACTACAAAGGAAATCACAATCACAGTAAAAAGATTTAAAATCTAAACTCCAAAATCCAAACCTTGTTTGAATAACAATAATTGTTTTTAAAAAAAAATGAGGCTTACGTTAGCACAAGCTTTCTCTTTCTCTGCGGCAGCTGTTGACTGAAGCAAATGAAAACAAAGAAGAGATGGAAATTAAATAAAACATTAAAGAAGCAATGAAAGAAGATAAGAAAAAAAAAGTTAGAGACACAGGAACCATGTAGCGGAGGGAGGTGCGACTGAAGAGGGGTCTGATCGGAGACTTGAAGCAAAAAGTTGGTTGTGAGTTGATATCCCACATCGGTAGTTCTTGGGGAATAAGGGATAAAGTGAGTGTATAAAATGGGATAGGTTTTCAACAAATCAACAATAACCTGTCAAGCTTGAATCGAGTTCCAAGTCGAGCTTGAATCGAGCTCCAAATTGAGCTCCAAATTAAGCTCCAAATCGAGCTTGAATCGAGCTCTAAATCAAGTTCAATTGAGCTTGAGTTCTGAGCTTCAATCAAGCTCTTGAATTTTTGTTTGAATTCGAGCCTTTTTGAGTTCGAGTCGAATTTTAATATTATCTTTTGAGTTCGAGTCGAGATTAAAGATTTTAGGCTTACGAGTTCTCAATTTGAGTTGAGCTTATATTTAAAGTTTTCGAGTCAAGCTCGGCAATACTCGAGCTCGACTCGGCTTGTTTACACCCCTAACTAGGAGTACATAAAGCAAATAATTCCACCTTTTAGTCTCTAGGAAGAAAGATTTGTTTTATAACAAACTTGTCGTAACTGTCCTTCGTGTGGGCTCTAATTCCATGCAACATCTCGGTTTAGGTTCTAACAAAAAGGTACTCAAGTTCTCTTTGTTGGTGCCCCCTTGGGTTTGCTAGACCCTCAGTCGTAATCCCGTTAAAAGCTCATATGTACCAAGTTAAACTCAAGATGATACATTCCCTTATGTATGTACGGAAAATAAATTCACACGAAGACATAAGGTATATGAATCTGGAAGGTTACTTGCTAGACCTATACGGAGAATAAATTCTCACGAAGGCATTACTTTCACCTCCACTTACGAAAGGATTTAAAGCTCGGGTATAAAACCTAAGAGAAATTTTTTAAAAGTTGAAATCATTAAAAAAACATCAATACGATTATTTATTTGAAAAGTAATAATTAAAGGTAAATAGTAAGGATCGAAAAGATAAATTTAAATTTAAACTTACAATTTTCGTTCAAGAAGATTACCGAAAATTAATTTTAGCCTGACTCACTTGTCTTTCCCCAATGAAGTCGTCAAGTTATCGTAATTGTCCTTCGGGTGGGTCCGAAATCGGGTTTCGACTTAATTTTGATGTGATTGAGCCGCCATCGATCATTTATGATTAGGTTGATCGGATACCTCAATTTACCATTTTATCTGATCTGCGTTTTACAAAAAAATTGTCAGATTCGGGAGTCGATTACAGTCAATGAAGGATTAGCACCTTTGTACTGCCTTTTCGGTACCAATTTAATTTCTCGGTTGTCTTAATTACAAAAATTAAAAGTTAAATTAAAATTTGAAATTCGATCTGAATTACTTACCTTTGATGAATTTAAAATTGTCCTAAAAAAATAAATCAAATTAATGTTAAATAACAAAATAAAAGAAATATTAAATAAATAAAAGAATTAAAAGAAAATTCAAATTAAAAATGATTAAATTGGAAAGAATTAAAAGTCAATGATCAAATTGATGTTAATTGAAAGCTACAAGGAAAAATACAAATCTAAGGGGTCAATTTACAAAATATAGGAAATATAAACAGGGATTAAATTGAATTAATTTAAAATTCAATGGCAAATTTACAACATATGACCAAAAAGAATTACATATCAAAACAACAGGGACTGTGGAAATAATTTAAAAACTCGTAATTGCACTCTAGTCCCCACTATAAATACCCCTAAAACAAATATTATTCGTTTCAACCCACTCTCCCCCAACCTCTCAAAACTCTTTCCCCATTTCCCAACCAGCCTATGGTCGACCATCACTCCGACGAAGTCCCGTCGCACTGACCACCGCTTCGGCCACCGTCTCCGGTGACCGAAAAATCCAAACTAACCTAAAATGTTCTCCCTGACCCAATAAACACAAAATCGAACCCTACTCATCCTAAAAAGGACCCTAGAAGTGTAGATCTACACTTGTAGTTTCGGTTTTACCTTAGATTGGTAGCATCTCTTTACTTTCCCAACGACCTTTGGCTTATCTCCGACGACGAAAACGACGAAACCTTTCTCTTTGTATTTTTTTACAAATTTTTGGTGGATTTTCGTTGTATGCTTGCTGTTGGATTTCGTTGTTTTTGCTTGGTTTCTTGTATGCTTGTTACTCGATGATGTTTGGTCCTTTGTTGTGTTCACCGGAGGCCTTTTTATAGCCTTCGAAAAGGGCTACTTCGGGTTGTTGCAATCCCAAAAGGGACAGAATTTTCCTCGTCCAAGTCTTACGCTGGAAATCTGGCCACTTTCATCCTGCTTTGAGTTCATGCAAAACTTCGTTTCGATTTTTCTGTTATTGATGCTGGTGCGTGGCCCCCACGCGCCATTTGTACGGTGTCCTTGCTAAGTTCAAAACCCTAATATGCTGGGTTAGATCAGGCACTCCTAACCGGGCCTGCTTTGATAGGTCAGACTGGCATGGCCTGATTGGGCTCGCTTGCTGGACCTGAATTTGGACTTTCTTGCTGAACTCGAATTTAATTTGGACCTGAAATAAAAATAAAATTAAAATAAAATAAATAATAATAATAATAAGCTAAAAAACTATATAATATATTGTATTTTCAAAATCATATAATATGTTTTCGAAATATATATATTACATATGTTTTTCAAAAACTATATATATTATACGTTTTCAAAATTATATAATAATACGTTTTTTTAAAAACTATATTATATATGTTTTCTAAAAACCATTTTTTAAAAAACTATATATTATTGTTTTCAAAAATCGCTTTTTAAAAACTATATATTATATATTTTCAAACCATATTATATATGTTTTCCAAAACTGAGTTATTTAAAAAAAAAATTATAGATTATATGCTTTCAAAAACCTTTTTCTAAAATCTATATATTATATGTTTTCAAAAATATTTTCAAAAACTATACTATATTATTATATATACTAAATAAGCTCCGGACGAAAATGAATAACTTCAAGCTAAGACCATATAAAATGAAACACAATGTTTATGAACTATAATTGTGGCTCAAGGAAAGTACAGATAAGAAAGAACACCTGAATAAAAAAACTGGTGGAGACGTTCTTGCTCGACATTTGTAAAATTTGAAAATGCTTTTTTGAATTCCTTCAAATTTACAAAATAAAAACCATTACAATCATTCACACCATCGTTTCAAATCGCGGTCGCAATCACGTTTTCGATCATTTCGTGTTTATCGTGATTGCGGTCATAACGAGCGCTATTATGATCGTAACGAGCGCTATTAGACGCTATTGCGAGTGTAGCAGATATATCAGACGATAACATTACCATTATTTCGCGGACCCTTATTTGAAATTCTGATTCACACTGTCACTAAAAAGAGAAAGCATCTCGAGAGGTTAAAAACGAATGAAACGAGGTAATGAAATAAAACCTGGGTAGAACAAGAAGTGAGAAGAAAGCGAACGGCGCGGTGGAAGACTTTTTCAAATCGGATTGCCTCTTTCCTATTGCTCTGACTGGACCACCGCCATTTCTGCTATCCATCTTCTTCGATACAAATTACAATACAAGCAAAGCAACCAAAGGAAGACAAAAAATAAAGAGCAACGGCCACGCTTTCTTTGTTCGCGCCTAATCAATGTTCAAATTTTGCTTTCTTTTCTTAAGATTCGCCACAATAGAGCCCACACTCATCAAAGCCAGTGGTCTGGAACCCGAAAATATAATATGATTTGCAATTTCAATTTGAGGGCTACAACTTTAAAATAGGGTTAATACCCTTTCCAGACCCTGTACTACAGTAAGATTATAAGTTTATTGCCCGTATAAAAAAAATTTTATCAGTTTATCCCCCGTTTTATATACCCATAACGCACATAGCTCTGAAGACTTTCTTGTTAAAGCTTTTATATTCCATATATTATTGTAAATAATCTTACATTTAGATCATTTTAATATTAAATATAACTTTAAATTCCATGATTTACGATGATATCATTATTTGAGATGCCATGAAACCAAATCTGAAGAAAGGAGACTCCAATTTACTTTAAGAGAGAGAGATCGTATAGGACGTGTTTAAAACTCCTAAAGATCGTCTTAATTTGTGTTTCTAATTGAGACAGGTTAACTCCATATTTCAGATTAATTAAGTACTTTCTAATATTATTTTTTTACAGCAGTATTAAAACAGTAAGAGAATCAAATAACGTTCAGTGCTAAAGCATGCAAAATCATTAAATATAACACAGCAGCAGCGTTTCGGCCTTTTCCTACTAAAATTTAAAATAAAAAATGAACACTCCACCCTCCAACGACCACAGACCAGTATACATATGACAACATCTGCATACATCTATGAATAATAAATAAATTGCATATGGCTTGTATGATTGTCCTTTAAACTGCCTAGCTGCATGCAAAACTGCACTGGCACTGCGAATTTGATAGCTGTTAAAATCCCTCAGATCATTCGTACATAGAATTCACCCAAGTAAATCTTTGAACAAGTTTGGGTTCTGACTCGATGGATTCACACCCATCTGTCTCACCAATGCATCCTTTTCCAATGAATCTTTAGGGTTTGGCCCCTTACTACTGCCTTGTGCAGGTTGCGGCCCAGCAGTAGCACCAGGCATGTTTGTCGCATGAGGATTTGACATGCCAGATAAAAGATCAGCATCGTCTTTATTGTGTATACAGATGGGCGAGTCAGCATACAATGGCATTACATCAGGTGACCTGGAAGCGGCGGTTGCACCATTTGCTGCTGAAGCATCTTGAGTTATGTCAAGAAGGCCCTCCAATTGTTTAAATGGATCTAGTGAAGGAGCTGTGCTTGTGCCGGTTGGTTCTCCCAAATCAAGCAAGTCCGGAGCTGGTTGAGCAGGAGCAGTCTTTTCTGATGCAAGTTCCATGCTAGAATTTGGCACATGAGACTTCACCATGTGGCTGCTTGCCTTTGAAACCTTATGACCGGTAGCAGGCCTCTTTTCCAGTTTTGATGAACCTCCAAACAGTGAAGCAGCAAGTTTCTGCTTTTCATGAGAAATTTCAACTTGTGGTTTCCTTGAAGCATAGGTTTCGATCGTTGAATTTACAGTACTTGCCCCATCAACTTGTGCAGCCCCATTAACCGTTTTCTGTGATGTCGAATTTGATGTGGATGTTTCAGTCGTGTATGTTGGTCTACCCCATTTCTTATGTACTCCATCTAGTCGTAGCTTGAGCTCCGCTGATCCTGCATTTGATGGATTAGATGGAATAGGAGTGACAGGAGTCGGGTAGGTCTCCCTAGGATACACTGGCTCAGGCACGGGAACAATTTCAGTTGAAGGAAGTAAAGCTTGAGGAATCCTAGATTGCACTGCAGGCTTTGGGAGCTCATATGCCTCAAACCTGAGACCATGTGATGATGATTCATGGTGATCCTGGTTCCTAAAATTGCCCATATTTAACACACCAGAGCGTTCACTCTCAGGAATATAGGGCTGAGCACCTTTTTCTATTGCTTCTTGGATATAACCATCAAGGAAAGAAAGGCCTTTATCAACCTGCAAGGAGAAAGAAAAATGACACGTGTGCAAAGAAAGCTTCACCATGATGCAGTTGACAGAACACACAAGGACCTAAAACGAAAAATAGACAACACCAGTAGGGATGGGCATGGGACCCGAACCCGACAGGTTCTGATCCGATCTGACCCGATCGGGTCGTGTTTCCTAAAAAAAATGGGTTCGAGTCGGGTCAAGTTTTTTAAAGGCGGTGTTCGGGTCGGGTCGGGTTTAGGGGAAAATACCCGACCCGATCCAAAAAAATATAATTTTATCTTATATATTTAGGAATAATTATAATAATACCCCTCCATATATTATTTTTTCCAATTTAATCTCTATTTTTATTTAATAAAAATATTATTTTATTATTATTTTGGGTCGAGTTGGGTCGGGTTCGGATTTTATCTCAAAAAATGGGTCAGATTCGGGTCGGTTGGAGGGTGTATATTTTTCGGGTCGGGTCGGGTAGGCTAAAACCCAAACCAGACCCATGCCCATCCCTAAATACATGCATGCAATTATATTTAATTTTCTAAATGGTCTTCAGCCGTAAAACATAAATTAAAATATCAATCAGTAAACAGAGCAAAGATATACATATTAATCTTCTGAAGCTCCCAAAAGCTTTCAACATAAGATATAAAGGTCTTGTCACAAAAGAGTCCATTTTCAAAATTCAAGGCAACCTACTTGTAGAAACATTATCTCAATCTAAGAAGAGCCAACACCATGGTAGTGTGATTTCAGAAATGAACAATTCGCAATTTCAACACCAAGTACATTAATGCAGGAGCAGGTGAAGATGCCGAAGGGGATTATATTACTATTTCTTTATAGAAGAATTTACAATTAATAGAAATTACATCATAATTTGGAGAAGCAATGAAGGTAATGCTTAATTAAACAAACTCTACATGACAACTTTAGGTGGAAGGGATCCTAAATATTTATCAGTCTGGACTTTGAAGTTAAAGAAGCTTCATTTTGTAACTAAACCAAAAAAAAAAGCACAATCAACTTGCAAGCAATAAAAGTTTCATCAGCATATCACTTTAAAAGAATTTGGATATCAAACTAGAAAGCCACATAAGTCAAAATAAGACATTACATGGAAATTGAAATAGGAACCATCATAGACATTGGATAAAATGGGAATCTATACTTCAAACCAAATGAAACAAACAGAATGCAATAGAAAAAACACCTCAATATCTTCACAACTTGCGTCTGATGGCATAATACACTCAACAGCATGAGCATCGAGGCCAATCAATGCTTGCAGTTCGTAGGCACGTTGCTGCAAATCTGTTGAGTGAGAAGCCAATAACTCTTCCATAAAAGATAGGCACTGCATCAAGAAAATAAAGAGAAATCAATCCACAAATTTGTTATCCAACAAGAGTTAAATATGATTATACATGTATTTTATATACAGGCATTAACAAAATCTTTCATCAAAATGAATCTAGCTTTTAGTGGAGTAAGCAATAATCAGGGGATTTCCATATTAACAGTAACATGTTACGGGAAGTTCCATGACTATCCGGTTACAAGAAATTGTGATCTACATCCTACTAGCACACTGCACAATTGGCATCACGAACCCTGTTCTCCACTTGTTAGGCTCGATTCTTGAATATAACAAATCAAAAGCATGTTGCAGCATATATTTTTCTCACTTCCTAGCCCAATGTTGTGGTAGCATTCCCCTTACCTACCATCCTTATGTTAGACCACTTCAAGAATCCAAAAGCACATCTAACTCGCACATTGATATAATATAACCCTTAATGACATCTATCATTATCTCAACATCAGAACAACCTAGCAAGCAGAGCTTAATTATAATTTCTCTGCATGCCCTTTATACTTGGACATAACCCCCAGAGAGAGAGAGAGAGAGAGAGTAAAGAAGATTATTATTTAAACAGTAGAACTTCACTTACAGCCAAGTGAAAGATAGCATTGTTATGAAACAAAATTTCACACTCAATATAATAAAATAATGCTAACACATATAGGGCTGTAAAAACAGGTAATCGGTCAGGTTTCAGTCGGATCTTGACAGGTCGGGTAAAATCGGATTCAGGTCAATTCAGGTTGATTTGACACCAGATCCAGATCGGGTTCAGGTCAGGTCAAATCAGTTCGGGTTATTTTCAGGTTGATTTGACACCAGATCCAGATCGGATTCAAGTCGGGTCGTTTTCAGTTCGGATCGATTTCAGTTCTGGTCAAAACAATTCAGGTCCGAAGCAGATAAATACCAGGTTAATTCAGGTTCGGGTTGACTTCAGTCGGATCTCGTTCAGATCGGGTCACATCATTGACAGATAAAATTCAGGTCGGATGTTTATCGGATACGGATTGAGTTCAGGTCGGGTCATTTTTATTTTTTTGGATTAATTAATTTTTCATCTTTCGTGATTGTAGAATTGGAAGTTGTAATTGTATTTGATTTCGAGTAAAATAAGAGAAAAATAAATAATCATGGATCAATTTTGTAAAAAAAATAAAATTAATGAAAAAATTGAAGAAATGTAAAATTACAAATAAAATCTTAAAATATAAATTAAACAACACAC